AGAGAGGGAGGGAGAGAGGGAGGGAGGGAGGGAGGGAGGGAGGGAGGGAGAGATACCGATGATCAAAATACCTCGTAGAATACCCGCATAATACCCGCATAATACCCGCATAATACCCGCATAATACCCGCATAATACCCGCATAATACCCGCATAATACCCGCAGAATTAATACCGGATATCACTGGACAACTGCAGGTTTGCTTCGCAAGATGATCCACTATAACTATGTTTGAAACAGTATTCTACGTGAACCACTGAAATCAGGAGCACTGGTTACGACAACTAGCTTCGATACCGCTGAAAGACGGTGGCTCAACGAACAGCATCAAGGAAAAAAATTCAGTCTTCAAAGACTATTGTGTTGATCGATATATATCATCCACTATTTGCTTCAAAAAAAAGCACTTTCTCAAAAAAAAGTGTTATTTATATAAAGAATATTTGTTTGAGGGTACACAATAAGATTTAAGAAACAGGATAAACCAAAGGGAAAAAATCCCAGTCATTTTCAATTAGTAAAGAGTGAGTGTGTAAACGGCGGACAACAACGCGGAGGAAATACTTTACGTTTTATCTGAAAATGTTTTTAAAAAATTGAATATTTGAAATAAAAACCTTTCTGAACATGATCTTCTTCCAACGTTGAAGAAATAATCGATGTAGGTAACATATTGGTCTCATTTCTTGATCACAGAAGACTTGACCAATTTAACTTTAACAACAACATCACGCGCCAGACAAATACTGAACCAATCAACAGTCTTGAGATAGGAAATCATTGATAAATTCACTGTTAGCCGAGTCGTCTTTTGGGAAATGAGGTACTGAATACTGGCTGTTAGCTTGAAGATTATATTGACAAAGCAACTGAATACATGTACGATCACTGAAGTCCCCGTTTCTCCCGAAGCTGGGTGTGTGTTGTTCATTGGTATAGTGGTCTCGAGAACTCAAGGGTCAAACGGAATTTACCCTGAACTATGCTCAAATAATCAAAATAATGAATCATAAATATACATAGTTCGTCCAGTACAGTCACAGATTCGCATTTAGGAGATTTTGTCAATTCTTTTTATGTAAAGAAATTAAATGGGTCAAAATGAAGGCACATGTGTTTTTGTCACCAGGGCCGAAACACTATAGCAGGTGAAAAGGAAATGAAGAAAAAATCAAGGTAATGAAAACAAGCAATAATCTGGATTGAATCAGGACTGCATCCCTGCGCACAGATAGCCTTTACCAACGTTTTTGCCCGCTGGATTGTTATGTTGCCTTGCATTTTTGACAACTATGTTGTTATTGTTGTTGTTGTTGTTGTTGATGTTGTTGTTTTTTGTTTTTTTTTTGCAAAATTTTGGCCCGGATTAAGATCGTTTTGATACCTATCTCTTTTGAAAACGTATTCATAGCTTGATCAATCCAAAGTTACCATAAAAAAAGAATGATGAACAATGTTAAATGAGTGTTTGATGAAGTTAGTGACCTGGTCCTCAGTTGGATGGACCATGACAAACCAACAACATACACACCTTGCATGGCCTTGATAATCGATGCTTTTGATATCGATAAATAATCAAATGTTGATAAATGAATGAATGAATTAAATGGATGGATGAGAAAAAACACGAATTCTATAACTGAACGCAAGATTTGTTATACTACTTTTTTCAAAGTTTTCCAGTTCCTTGCTTTGCATATGCCTTATCTGCAGTGTTCGGAGGAAGAAGAATAGGTATTGAATCAATGGATTTAGAATCGGCATTTATTATCCAACATGACGGACAATGAACACGTGACCTGCACGGCTAGCCCTAAATCTGTTCCTTCTATTGAATAAATGGATTTAGAATTGGCATTTATTATCCAACGTGGCGGACAATGATCACGTGTCCTGTGTATACACGTCATCTAGGGATAGACATGGGGCTAACAAAACGAGTGACGTAAACTGATCAAGCACAAATATTCACGTATCTGACAACAAATAATTTATGAACAATCAAAATTATTTGGTCTATTCTACACGCGATGAAGATTATTATTCTTATTAATAATGTATTAAAAGTAATTTCATGGTTTAGTGATTTTAGTGAACTGTAAACATGACTTATAATATTATAATGCAACCTCTCTCAGTTCAGGAGGCGTTATTTCATTAGACAAAAATATCTACAAAGACAGAAAACCTTAGTGTACGTCTCTTTTCGTTGTTGCGTCAGATAGACCCCGGAAAACTATATACTTACAGTTTTTTCCCATAAAGAAAACTCTTGAATACCGTTGACAAGAAAATGCAATGGTTATGCTCTAATTGCGCTAGACACACTCGGAAAGATTGTTAAAATATTTTAAAGAAAAAGAAAGAAGAAGAAGACGAAGAAGAAGAAGAAGAAGAAGA